ACTGCCCGCGTCACAGCCTCGGCTATTGTAAGAACATAAGAACAGCCATACTGGGTCAGTCTATCCAGCTTGGTATCCTGTCTGCCTACAGTGGCCAATGCCAGGTGCCCCAGAGGGAGTGAACCGAACAGGTAATGATCAAGTGATCTCTCTCCTGCCATCCATCTCCACTCTCTGACAAACAGAGGCTAGGGAGGGACACCATTTCTTACCCATCGTGGCTAATGGACTTAACCTCCATGAATTTATCTAGTTCCCTTTTAAACCTTGTTATAGCCCTAGCCTTCACAACCTCCTCAGGCAAGGAGTTCCACAGTTTCACTGTGTGCTGTGAAGAAATACTTCCTTTTATTTGTTTCAAAGCTGCTGCCCATTCATTTCATTTGGTGGCCCCTAGTTCTTATATTATGGGAACAAGTAAATAACTTTTCCTTATTCACTTTCTCCACACCACGCATGATTTTATAGACCTCTATCATATCCCCTCTTAGTCTCCTCTTTTCCAAGCCGAAAAGTCCCAGTCTCTTTAATCTCTCCTCATATGGGACGTGTTCCAAACCCCTAATCATTCTAGTTGCCGTTCTCTGAACTTTTTCTAATGCCAGTATATCTTTTTTGAGATGAGATCACATGGGTACGCAGTATTCAAGATGTGGGCGTACCATGGATTTATATAAGGGCAATAGTCTCCATCTTATTCTCTATCCCTTTTTTTAATGATTCCTAATATCCTGTTTGCTTTTTGACTGCCGCTGCACACTGCGTGGACGTCTTCAGAGAACTATCCATGATGACTCCAAGATCTTTCCTGATTAGTTGTAGCTAAATTAGCCCCTGTCATATTTTATGTATAGTTGGGGTTATTTTTTCCTGTGTGCATTACTTTACGTTTATCCACATGAAATTTCATTTGCCGTTTTGTTGCCCAATTGCTTAGTTTTGTGATGCGTAGGATATCTTGGCTCCAAGCATCAGGGGTACCGAGGGACTTTGCAGCAAAAGGTCAAGGATCTGCCCTTTGACAAGATCCGTTTTTGCCGCAAAAAGGTTGATGGAGGTACTTCATTCGATGGACTCCCGCACGACCCTCCGGACCCTGGGCCTGGGCATGTACACGCCCACCCTTCAAGAGAGCCGGATACAATATTTATCAAAGGCCCAGGGAATTATACTGACCACAATCGAGGTATGATTTCCGTAAAAAACACACGCCCCAATGACGACGTAGACCCCAACATCAACAGCATCATCAAGCCTCAGCATCCCAACCTTCTACATCAGAACAGCAGATTTGAAGGTTTGGTCGATAGCCAGAAAGACACTTTTCCTGCGGTTGCACCATCAGCCAATTATTTACAGTTCAACCGTCTCCTCCGGCCCTTTTTACAACAATGGGCACAAATAACATCAGACAAATGGGTATTGGAGCTCATCCAGTTGGGTTACTCCATCCCCTTCACCTCCCTTCCTCCCACCCCGTCCCTCTTCAGGGACTCCTCTCTTGAGACAACCCCCCCTTCAATGAGAGGTGCTTCACCTTCTACAGTTGGGCGCTATAGAACCAGTACTAACAGAGTTCCAATGGAGAGGATTTTACTCCACTTATTTCCTAACACAGAAAAAGAACGGAGGATGGAGACCCATTCTGGATTTAAGGAGGCTCAACAAATATGTCACTTACTGACGAATCAAAATGTTGACCCTAGCAACAATAGTTTCAGCACTAGATCAAGGAGATTGGCTTTCAGCTCTCAACCTGCAAGATGCATATTTTCACATAATTCATCCCACCCACAGGCGGTTTCTATGATTCACAGTTGGTCTTCACCATTACCAATACCGAGTGCTCCCTTTCGGGCTTTCAACAGCTCCCAGAATTTTTTCCAAAACCCTAGCCGTCATTGCGGCATACCATACACGTCAGGGAGTCATAATATTTCCATACTTCGACTGTCTCATAAAAGGCACGTCCTTCCGAGAGACACAGGACATGGTCAAGACCACCACGGACTTTCTGCTCTGGCTTGGGTTCCATATAAACTATCAGAAGTCCACACTCCAGCCTACCCAAGCCCTAGAATTTATAGGAGCACATGTCGACACTGGCACAGCCAGAGCAACTTTGCCCACATGCAGATTCAAGGTTCTATGCAACCTCATAGCAGTAGCGGGTGACCTCTACCACAACAGTCCGTGAATGCCTAAAAATTTTAGGCCACGTGGCCGTGTCAACCTACGTTGCCAGGCTCCATATGAGAGGTCTCCGGCCCCGACACTCACCATTACGACCGATGCATCACTCATAGGATGGGGAGCCCACTTAGGATCCCTCACTGCCCAAGGCAAATGGTCCTTCACTGAGCAAATGCTCCATATCAACCTTTTAGAACTCAGAGCGATACGGTATGCGTGCCAGCATTTCTTGCACCACAAAGCACACAAGACAATCAACATTATGACGGACAGGCCCCGACACTCACCATTACGACCGATGCATCACTCATAGGATGGGGAGCCCACTTAGGATCCCTCACTGCCCAAGGCAAATGGTCCTTCACTGAGCAAATGCTCCATATCAACCTTTTAGAACTCAGAGCGATACGGTATGCGTGCCAGCATTTCTTGCACCACAAAGCACACAAGACAATCAACATTATGACGGACAATACGACTTGCATGTATTACATCAACTGGCAAGGTGGTGCCTGATCGCCATCCCTATGCATGGAAGCTCTCAAACTGTGGAATTGGTGCTTGGCGCACCAAATTACCCCTATTGCTCCTTACCTCCCAGGAGTATTAAACTTCACAGTGGACACACTCATTCGCAAGTTCTATGAACACCACGAATGGGAGATACACACAAGCCCTCAATTACGTGTTTCCCCCCAACCAGATATAGACCTCTTCGTAACCAGAGCCAATCGCAAATGCCACCTCTGTTGTTCCGGAGCAGCCTTAGGAAAGCACTCCCTTGGGGATTCCTTCTCTATCAAATGGGATGCACTGTAACTATGCATTCCCACCCCTTCCCGTGCTCCACAAGGTCATCATCAACAGAACAAGCCCACGTGATTCTCATTGCACCTGTGTGGTTGAGACAAACATGGTTCCCTTACCTCCACAGAATGACAGTAGCGGATCCATACACCTTTCCGCTTCAACACGGTCTTCTCTCCCAGAGTCACGGCAGAATTCTCTATCCCGAACCCCACATACTCCACCTCCATGCGTGGTTCCTTCATGGCTCCAAGGTGCCGAAAACACCTGCTCAGAGTAAAACAAGTATTAATCAACAGCAGGAGAGAGTCCACCAGAAAAACTTACCTTTACAAATGAACTAGATTCTCAGAGTGGCTCAAACGTAACCGTCCCATGCCCCCTGAAACCACCCCAGATACTATCAAGATACATGCAGCAGCTATAGCAGCCTTTCATCGCACTATTGATGGCAACTCTTTGCTGTCTAACCCAATCACCAAGAGATTTCTCACTGGCCTACAAAACACTTTTCCGTCCATTTGCCCACCAGTTCCTGTCTGGGATCTGAACCACATACTTGAGAGCCTGACAAAGCTACCTTTCAAGCCTTTGGCAATTTGCTCATGGTCATACTTCTCTATGAAGGTCTCTTTTTTCCTAGTTGAAATAATCTCCAGTAGGAGAGATGGGGAGCTTGCCACACTAATGGCTGACCCCCCCCCCCAAAACAATTTTTAGCAAGGACAGAGTGACGTTTCAGCTCCACCTTAAATTCCCCACAAAGATCCCCTCTCCTTTCCACATTAACAAAACCATACGCTTACTTGCGTTCTTCCCAAAGCTGCACACTGATCCATCCCAAGCTGCATGGCGCACCCTCGACGTTGGCAGAGCGCTCGCGTTCTACATTGATCGCACAAAATCCTGGAGAATATCTCCTAGGCTCTTCCTAATTCTTAGCTGAACGATTCAAAGGACCAGCTGTCTCTTCTCAGAGGATTTCAAAGTGGATTTCTTCATGTATCCACATATGCTACACATCCACAACAAAGAGCCCCTAGCACCATCACTGCCCATTCGACTAGAGCCATGTCTTCTACAACCACCTTTCTCTAAACGTACCTCTCCAGGACATTTGCAAAGTAGTCACTTGGTCGTCAGACCACTCGCTTGCACAGCATTATGCCCTCGCATCTTCCATTGTGTCATTTATGGCTGTCGGTCAGGTGGTGCTCTCCTTGGTGACCGTGGCAGGGTTCCAAACCCACATACACAATTCGACCACTGCTTTATAGTCACCCAGAGTGGAGCACCCACGGGGACACTACTCGAAGAAGAGAGAGTTACTCACCTTGTGCAGTAATGGTGGTTCTTCGAGATGGAGCACCCCCAGGGGGACACAATACCCTCCCTCCTTCCCCTGCTTTGGAGCCCCCATGCTCTACTAGCCAGGGTAGAGAAGAAGTGGAGGGAGCTGCGCGCCCAACTGACACCAATGGCACGAGAGGGGGCCAGGGCATGTGCATGGTGCAGAGGACACTGCTAGAAAAATCTCCAGTCGCTGGCACGAGGGCACACCAGCACCCAGAGTGGAGTGCCCACGGGGATGCACATCTCCAAGAACTGCTGTTACTGCACAAGGTGAGTAACTCTCTCTTCAATTGCTTCTGGAACTCATTCAGCTTCTAGTAGACCATGTTCTGTCCAGACGATCTCAAGGTGTTCTGAGAAGTGACTCAATGGAAACAAAATGTTTTCACGTTTTTGTTTTTCAGAAACTTGTGAACTTGTTCCCCAAACCAAACGTATTAGTGCTTACACAAGTCTGAATTATTTTAGCAGTTCAAAGTGAATTTTAGAACACATTTGTAAAAAAATTGCAACTTTATTCCCAGCATTTCCTATAGCTTTTGTTAACTGAACACTTGGCAGTTACTCTAACACCCAGAAAGTTAGAATGATGGCTTATAAATCAAAACCAAATAACTAAATTCTCTAACTCTGTTTTGAATCTGTAGTTGGTGACAAAGTTCCTGCTG